CAAGAATATTTTGAATTATAGGATTGGTTTGAACAATAGGATTTGTTTGGTTATTTAAACATAAGTTAATTATTTTTTCGGGTTTTTGCTGCTTGTTTTAAAATTCTGATTTATGGAGTAAAGAATCGTGCTTATTGGATTTCCTTTTGTAACTTCTTTATTGTACAGATCACATAATTCTTCGATAGTGCTATCTAGAAAATCATGCGAATTATACAACGATGATTCTTCCTGTTTTAAGGCAAGACTATCATCATAATCTGCAAATGAATTATTGCAAATGCTTTTTTCATTTGACATTGTATCTGATTAAATCGTATATTATATCGTGTTCTGGTAGAGAATACGATATATCGATATGTAACGATATGTATGGTTGGCAGTGAATTAAAACCGTATTTTGGTCTTATTATGGAGGTCGGCTAAAGCGGAGTTAAGGCAACTCTTTTATGCGGATAGTTATTATTATATATGGATATCAAGAATACAGTAAAACCTTTATAAGGGACCAACTTTAAAAACGAGCACTTAGAGCATTTATGGAAGTTATGTATGTTTACTGTACAACTTATGCAGTATGTAAATTGAATATTGGCAATGGACCAGTCCTTTGGCATTTTTTTAATCGATTTTTAAGATTTTCATTTCAAATTAAAGTATTAGTTCTTATTTATATGAGATACAATTTTAATTATACATTGGCTTATAAATATTGAGATTTTTAGATTTGAAAAAATCAATTCTTCGAAGACATAGTGGTTTAAAATTAACTTGGCAAATTGAATTCAAGCACGTGACCTTGTTTGTACAAAAAATAATAGGAACCGTTCAATGTTGCACAACTATTTTACAATATTGGATCACTCTACCGTCAATGTTATAGATATAATGCTTTACCTGTTGGATTTAGTTGTGCAACATTGACGGTTCCTTCTGTTACAAAAATACCTATAAATAAATCAGTAGAAAGTTCTGTAACAATATGTTAATATTAGAGCACCAACTACTATAGCCGAAAGTGATGGGAACAATACCGTGAAATCAAGTTAAAAGTATCTGGGCACAGTGCATACCAGGCCTACCGAATAATTGATTGTGAAGGCAATTAATTGCAATTATTCAAATTCAATTAATTGATTGGTGGCGCAG